TCGCGCGAGCTCGATCCGTCATAGTAACTACCCAAAAACCGCTGGCCATGTCAAGAGAGCAGTACCAGAGTACTTTATCCAAATCTTCCAACAGCTCATTGATTAGAGGCATCGGATACACCATCAATCGAGTCAGACCGTTAACCAGCCGGTAATCAATGCACAGACGTCTATCCACCCCGTTCTTCTTGCTGATGATTACCACTGGGGATGCCCACGGGGACGTTGAGAAACTGATGATCTTGGCTTGCAGCAGGCCCTTAATCAGATCCGATAGTTTTTCTCGGAACTGAGGCGCCACCTTCCGCACCCTTTGAGCGATCGGTTTCGCGTCGCCGACATCGATGTCACATTTGACTCCGCGGGCAGCGGGCGGTAACGCATTACCTTTACCAATCAGCAGATGTCGGCTCTCCCAGATTTTCTGACGCAGACGATCCACTTCAGCAGGTTCATTCGCCCCTGGATCCACTTGGATATCATCAATCGTGACCTCTTCTGTGGTCAGTGGTACCTCCGGGATCACCGCCATGCCTTCTCCCAGATCCTCGGCGTGTAGATCCCCGCCTTCACGGTAGCAGACTTGATCATCTTCCGTCTTCGTAGGATCCACCATTGGATCCAAACACCGCGACCCTCTTTCGCCTGGCAGTCCTTCTGGCTCCGGGGGATCAGATACCCTGGTATCAGGGAAACCACCAGTTGGATCTAGTCGGTCCTCTAACGAGTTTAAACCCGACGGTTCTGGTTTGACTAGTGTTGCCACTCTCGATAGGGATCCCGGCACTTTATCCAATGGAAAGCTTGGATCCACTTGTGGATCAGCGGGATCCGGCTGTTCGGCTTTAGCCCTCTGCAATCCTTCATCCACCGACCCTGCGTTATCTAAGGGCCGACTCTGGGGATCGTCCCCCGTCGTGGATCCAATCTCCATTGCTTGGATCTCAACCCGTCGATCCCTCTGCAGGATCTTTCGCGGAGTTGGATATGAAGGCCGATCCACCAAGGGGCCAGTTGGCTCCGCCGGGAGCTCCACCTCTCCGAGAGATTCGATCTCGGTAGTCGCCTCGTACACCAGATTCTGCCATTCTTTGTAGCGGCGGGATCCCACTGACACATATCCAGGGAGAGCCATCCAAAGCACTCTATTTTTTTTAGCGAACACAAAAAATAGGATGTGAAGCGCCACAGACGCAGAAAGGGTCACCAAAAGAAAGAGCAGTACACCACACCAAAAAAAAGTGTCGTTTCGCAAAAATCTTTTCTCTCCACAAATAGATATCGTTAGCCACTACTATTAAAATAGTTTAGAGCTTAGCTTCCCAGCATCTAAGAAATTTAAAAATTAACAGCATTGTGAGTGGAGCATCGATACAATGGAGAATGTTCACGGCAACACAGCGAATCGCCCTGTACGAAGAGGATCGAGAGGTACTAATCTCTCCGAGTTGGGGTCGTCGTCGTCTTCATCTTCGTTGACAGGGTTGGCAGTAACTACAGCTCCTGCATTGCCAAGAAACACTAGCGACGCGGGCCCGGGTCGTATCCACAGTTCGTGGAAGAAGCGATTGTAGTGTGTTTGGGGGCCTCGCTTTTTATTCCCTGGCAACACTGAGCGGTGGGCAACGAGTTTGACAGGCCAGCTGCGACATTTGATCGAGCTCGAGGAAGATGAAGACAATCCCAAGAAGAATCGAACTCCTCTTCCATACTATTGCGCAGCTCTGGAAATGCGATGGGAAGCATTCGAGACGCAATCAAGTAGCCACACAGTGGGCATGAACCTGCTGGAGAAGCTCGCGTCGATGCGTGCGGATGAAGAGATGGAGGAGCCCGTCGCGAAGGATGTCGTGATGCATTTAGTGGAGAGTGGACATCTCTTGCTGCATCAACGATTCCGAGCTGCGTTTGTGGAGCGATGGGTAGCGGCTGAGGTGATTGGATTGTCTGACGGCGACGAGAACGGGATCATCAGTGGGCGTTTACGTGCTCTTCAGTCGTGCATGGATCTGGTTCATTTGCTTAGCTACAAGCGCGAGTTCGTGTTTGATCAAGACGACTGCTCAGTGGCCAAGCTGTACATCGAGCACACTGTACTCAGCATGGACGCCGGTACAGGAGCTGACGCTCGTGGTATCAAGCAGCAGGTGGCTGCGAATTTTGAGCCACTGCGTCTTGAAGTGGCGAGTGAATTCTATAAAGAGTACGCAGTGCACTTACGTACGCTTGGTTTCCGACGTCTTCGGACGCTAGCTACCAGCAGAAGCCATGCACGTGCCTTCCCTGCGGACCCCAGCGCAGCAAACGAGAGCGACATACCTGCCAAAGAAGGCTTCTCCGAGTACTTTTACCACCCGGTAAGAACTGCAGCGGAAGCGGCTGGGTGGACGAATAGTGCAAGCAATGACCCTCTCTCCATCGTGGTGCTTGAGGTAAAATGCGACAATCGAGGCGTGCTGCTGACTGCGGTACGTGTGAGTTTGCACGACTTGGAGCAGCAAGATCTGCGTTTCAGAATCGTTTGGCTGCCAAGACTGGGAAGAAGACGACTGGAGTATCTGGAGCAAGAGTGCAGAGTGAAGCGTCGTGGCTACGTGCTCAACTGCAGACCCAAACTCTCATTTACGGGTTGACCATCCGCTACTTCCAGCAACATCTTCTGCAGTGGCTTGACGCGTCGCACGACTTCCACGACGCAGAGAATGGACACGGTCACAGTGTAGGCAAGCATCAAAGTGAGGATGACGCGCTTGTCGTGACCCCACCGCTGCCTTGGAAGAAAGCGGCCACGTTCCAGAACATCGGCAAGGGGCTTTAATGCTTCTTGCAAGCCTTTCCGGATCCGCCTATGGAACCCAAGAAGTTCAGTACACCAGCCCCAACGTCGTCACCGTGCAGATCTTACTCCGATACATCGCATGTCATGGCTCACGCTACCAAGTGTTAGACCTACTGCAGTTTGGTACACCAGATGCAGTCGTGTGTCACTCGTCATCAAAAGCTTTTGTGTGCTACCGGTGGAGCGGGCTCTGCAGGAAGCTCAGCTCTTCACGCGAGAGTTGTTTCGCGTTGCTGCTCAACACTACGAACGTGATTTGCTGTGATCTCGCCTGCTGTTTGATGACTCACGTGGCCCTGATGCCGATGTGGCTCGCACGTTGGCGCTTCCGGCGGATTTGTTCCGAGTAGATGTGGGCCCACAGCAGCTTGAAGAGTGTCTCAAGCTGTCTATCTGTACGCCTTTGGAGGTGCTGGACCCGCGACTGGACGAGCTGCTGCGTGTATCTGGCGTGTGCTGGCACCAGGCTCGGTATCTTCTCCGTGGCGCTTGGTCGGGTCGTTGAGCTCGTTATACAGTCGTGGCTAAGTTCAAGCCTGGTTAAAAGAGCGATGATCTCCACCACGTACCAGCTAATTAGAGCAGAAGTGTCGTTTAAGATAACGGGGTTCTTTTTAAAATAAAATTGTCAAATCTGTTCGTCAACGTCATTTTTTAATCAACAACTTTAGTTTGATCGCTCTTCGAACTCTAACATGACACGAAATTGGCGGCTTTCGGATCCCCATGCGGAGCTGCCCATCAAGAATCACGAATATGTGAAAAGCTGCACCGAGCTGTACATGGACAATAAGCGCATCGACTAAATTGCGAACTTCGATGCTTTCGTTAACCTCGAGGTGCTCTGGATCAATGACAACCAGGTATGTCATCTGTGCAGTAGCATTTCAACTTAAGATTCTTTCTTTGACGACCTGCCAGATTCAGGAACTTGGCGGACTGGACGGTTGCTTCCGTCTCAAGCAGATCAACGCTCAAAACAACTGCATCCGGTACGTCAAAAGTGCGCCTTGTCAACCTGCTCTCCTCGATAAACAAGTGTACTTCTGGTCCTATAAACAGCTCGCTTGAAGATTCACCGCAACTACTACGCTACGACTGCAAGGCTGATGAGGCTGCAGCCTCGACCGAGGAAGTGCTATAATAGCTCCAATATTCCGTCCAACACATCGATCTCCTCACTTACTTAATTCAAATCATCCTATTCGTTTGCATTTTTGTTTAGTATTATCCAGGTCGTCGTCGTCCCCTTTGTCGCTCGTTTGGTTTGCAGTTCATCCGGCAAATTGTAGTCTTGATACGTCTCGGTGGGGTTATTATAGCGTATGATTGGATCTGCAGTAAGATCTACTTAATTAAGTCGTTGACGAAAAAGAAAGTTGGACCATGTTGACCACAACCTCCACTCCGTCCCTCATTTTGTAGTCATTGTCGGCTGCAACGACGGCCGTGATGCAGCCAAGAGCAGATTCATCCAGTTTTTTCGGATGAAGCTATTCGAACCGAATTGACACCGACAGTTGAATCTTTAAAACCAGTGCGGCCACACGTGGACAATGCTTCCATACAATACATTTACATTTAAGTCGCAAATGCGGATCTTCAGCGGTTGAAGATAGCTACGTTCTTTCCGTTCTAAGTCACAGCTACACATATAGGGATCTAAGTGCCATTACTAGTGTAGTTGCGATTGTATGACACTGAGCTATCTCAGTGAACGTAGTGTTTTTATCGTTTGAGCTGGTGTGAAGTTCCTTCACATCTTGCATGGGTTCGTTTCTAAAGCGATACACTACGATACAGATGGTGCTTGTAATCCGCCACTATTTTGGTGCAGCTGCCCCCCCCCATCGTGGGATTACTCATACATTTGGTCTGCTCCTCGTATTTCTCTGCCCATACAGCTACGGTAACGACCTCCTAGGCGGCCGTCTCATTCCACTCGCCCTAGCATCCTACAACTCTTCGATGAAACTTCGATGAAACTTCAGTTTGCTTGGTGAGAGTGAACAAGTTCCCCACCAAGCTTAATGCAGCGTGTTCCTGTATTACAGGCCTCTTCCATCACCTTCGACGACTGGTGTCTTTCCCTCCTGTACTGGGAGTTATGCCTTTCCGGTCTCTATGTAGCCCCATCGAACTATAAATAAAGTGAGGACAAGAGACCAACAAGTTTTGCAGTGTAGTTACGTCCATAAGTAGCTGCAGTTGAGACACGTTAGTGCAATTCGTCCGTGGCACTCGGGCACAAGTTACGCATGGGTCCTTAGAAGCCCACCATGCAATCAGTACTGTAAGCTAAAAGGTCGGAATATGCCCGGCTACTTATGCGAAATCACCCAGTCGGATTCAAATCAACGTGCGCGGTGCCTCATCAAAATGAGCCCGCTGTGCTAAATGGGCTGGTA